AAGGAAGCCGGCAAGATTCCCATCCCACTCAAGTTAGGCGACGACCTTGCCAGGTATTCGTAGGAGATGGGCAAGCTTTCAAGATCGCACAAGCTTAGCTGAGCAGAGAGCATGAGCCGTCGTGGGATCCGTAGCTTCGCCTACTGATCGATAGTGCTGGATAGCCTACGGTACGCGCAGAGGCAGCGAGAACAGCCTGCGCGCGACGGAACAGACGCCGATGGGCTGCTGGCTGCTGGCGCTCATGACGTCATGCGCTCGATCCCGGCCTTGGCTTCCCGACTTCTCGTGCGGTTCCTTGTCGCCTTCGCGCGACTCGACTCTTTCCCTCTCACCACCACCTTCACCCTCTCCCCGCCGCCGCCCTTTCGATGCGCGTCTTCGCTCTTTGCACCGCCGGTGCATTAATACCGTTCCCGTAATGCTACACGTAGCAAATCCCGCTGAATTTGGCCTACGCCTCCGGGGCGGTATCCGGTGCGCTCGCATATACTCATGCTCGCCTTGACCACTCCTCACTGACACCATTCGATAGGCTCCACCGCTAAAGCCTTTTGACGGAAGATTCTACTCGCCGAGCTTCAGGTATGTTGTTCTTTCGAACCAGCCGTAGATTGAGCTTACATTCTTCCAGGGATGTCGAGCTTCTGCGCGCGGGGCGAGGCGACGCGTCGGCACGGCGCTCATGCCCGTAGGGCGGTTGTATGGTCTGAAGGTCTTTCTATACGTAGTTGTCCTACTCGCCATGTACTTGTATTTTATGTACCATCTTATGAATACATCGTTGCAATCATCGTCGCAATGAACAATTGCCTAATCGGGAAAGAATATATACCTGATTATTGGTCGTCGTTAGCAGGCTTTAATGACGTGCATTTGAAACTGCTTCTGGTATTTAAAGGTGCTGAGGGTATTGTAAGGTTCGCGGGACCTTGAAGGGGCTTTAAAGGTTAGCAAGACCTTCAAATGAATGCCCATGTTGACCTTGCGGGTGTAAGGTAGTTAAAGGTCCCCCGAAAATTGGGGTCGTTGGGATCCTTTACATGCATGTACATGTCTTACAAGCCTTACTGGCTTTTCCCGACGAAGTTCCCACTCGGTAGGCTACGCAAGAGTAGGTCAAGATCTTGTGGTTCGGTGCAAGATGGTGAGGTACTGACCGCCATCGAAGCCTTCCTCTTCGCATTTCTTGACAACTAGACCTGCTGCATGCAATGCGTTCCGCACCTGGCCGTACGTCCCTTTATATAGCGATCTGCCTTCTGGCGCAGGAGAAGCATCCCTATTGCCATCTGACTTCGCACGTGGGCTAATCATGCCTGCATCAGCCACCGCACGCGCTATTGTTCGACTGAGGCGCCGCAGTCGCGAGGTCGGCGTCTTTGGCGGTAGATCCCCGCTCTCGCTGACAGGGAAGCTGAGGTGTAGACCACCAGAGCGGATGTTGAGTTCATCGGAGTCCTCCTGAAGCTGGCGTCGTTTATGCGTAGGTACTGTGAGCATAGGCGAAGCCTCTGGGATGATGGAAGAGATCTGGTCGAGCACGCTTATCGGTGGCCGTCGACGCAGGCTGCGGACCCTGGCAGGAGTTTCCGGCGTAGGAAGAATCTCCTCGTCCTGTGGTCCGTCTTCCGGGACTAGCGTGAGCGCAGCGATAGACTCGGAATCACGCCAGCGCTCGTTATCATCCGTCCCAAGACGAGCGCTGACATGCGCGCTGCCCTTCATAGGAGGCGCCGTGAGCGTCCAGTCGTTGTGTATCTGGGGTCGACGTCCAGGTTCAGAGAAGCGGCGACGGAAGATGCGACGAAATGAGCCAGCCCGCGTAGCTTCGTCATTGGGTGTTGAAGGTAGAGGCTTCTGAGCGGTAGTCGCAAGTCCTGGAGAGGGCATGGTATGTGACCTGGTGGGCTTGTGTTTGACTCGAGAATCAGTCACACACTCTTCTGTCGGGTTCGAAAGCACCTCTGGTCGGCGAGGCCATATCGAAACATTGGAGAACTCTACAGCGTACGGGTGACCGTCCTCCCCAATTCTGAATTCGACCATTGTGGTGGCAGACAGTGGCAGACACGAGACAGGAAAATACAAGGCTGTGCAGGCCACCGGATGGGCGTCCAGATGGCGGAGTGCAGTAAACCCACGATGGGCGTAGAGCGAGGAGCGTGTGGAACGATCCGTACAGAGCCATATATCTTTGTGCTGATCCTCGTGTTCGTCGCAGGGTTTGCACGGGACTCCGACTGTCGGTCAACAAAGTTCATGCACGATACAGGCGTGGCGGGGCATGAATCGTGCGCTGAGCGCGATGTCCTTTGCGGGTGTACGCATGGATGAATTCGGGAGAGATGATCAAGTGGAGTCAGTATTCTTCGCATTGTCGTACACAGATGACCGCGGAGTTTCAACGAACGTTCGACAGTAGTAGGAACAAACTGCTCGTTCAATTGACCATGCGGCACAGACAGTCAGGATCAAGTGCTATGACGATCTTCAATATCGGCGGGTGTATACTGGAGTGCGAAAGAAGCTGAGTAGTATGTCTCCATGCGCCGTTTCGTGGGTGGATGGGCTTGTACGTACACGACCAAGTTGAGAAGTTCTGCAAGATCCTAAGAGTCTTCATGCGATGTTTGAGATATTAGAATGTTCACTCGGATAGTCCCAGCGCACTACGGGAACATACCGTACATCCTTGATTGCAGTCGCCAAGTCGGCGATCCACCGCAACAGGAAGGGTATGAGTATCTCCAACACAATACATATCTTCACTGTACAGGGTTCATGATGATGACGTCTTAGAGCTCGTATAGACATGGGGCTCTGATCAGAAGACATCGTCGTAGCGTCAAGTGCATGCACTCTGTGAGAGCTATGACGTCGAGGCGCTTCTCGGGTCTGACGAACTGGTGAAGAAGGGGCGATATCTGGGGGCGGATGCGGCAATCTTGGTCAGTGATGTTGTTGGTCCTGCCCGAATAGCCCACAATGGCTGAGAGAGGAAGGCGGTACCTGACGAGATTTATCTTTCAGATAATCGGGGGCCGGCGGCCTGCCGCTGGGGGCAAGCTGGGGGCGTACTAAAAATCTGGCCCAAACAGTCGCTCGAACCAGGAAACAATGCGTAACTTCCTATAAGCCGAGTGTAAAATTGACCTCATAGTACTCAGAAGCCAGTCGTAGTCGTCGCCGCACCGGGCAATCTTGGCGGTGCTGACGAAAAGCTCGATTCCCGCCGACGTGAAAAGTACACGATCACGTGTTCTATCCAGCTCATCGATCTGCGCGAGCTGCTTCCGCCACCCGCCGCGACGTCAGGACGTCTAGATTGGGCATTCCGCCGAGAATGATGACGCGTTTCCGGCGAGGATGTTCAGCGCGCAGGAACATAGGACAGCGCTTCTCTGAACGTTGTTCCGCCAGAGAAAGCGGCTGGATCGGTCTAGCTGTGACGTCAAGATTTGCCGACGCATAAAGTCTGTAGTGTGTTCGCGACCGTAGACCGCATCTGCTCTATTTCCTATCACCACTAGCATCGCTTCCCGGTATGCCCCATGCGTCAATTGCTGTGCACAATGCTCGTGCTGATATGTGACTGGTTAGAGAGTCGGCTCCACACCAAAGACCAAAAACCAATTTAACACCCGCCATGTCCGTCCCAGCAACGCACAATCCTGTCATCGGTCCTGCTGGTGGCAGCGCCCCTTCCAAAGTTGCGCTTCACCTGGGTCACCTTCCCTCCAAGAAGGACATTAAGGCGCCATACCCGCGTACGCCGACTCGTGTACGTCCAGTTCAACGCCAAGCTGGGGTACTTCTGCTGACTACCACGTAGATCGACCCCAACAATCCGCCTTGGCCTGCATACCGCGGCTACCATGAGTATTCGTTCGCACACGCGACTATGGGTGTCCGCCTGCCCACGATTCTCGGCAAGGCCATTGACGACACCATTCGCACACTCAACGAGCAGTCCGAAGAGGACAAAGTTGTCGATCTAGTCCAATGCATCGAGCGCATGGATGAGCTCATGACCGACCTTTCCGGCAACGCGAAATTGCGTCCCATCGTCGATGACAACGAGGCCGATGTCGCTCTATGGAACAAGGAGATCGCGAAGTACTTTCAGAATAAGGATTTCATGAGTACGCCCCTTACCTGCGTACGCATATTGTAAATGCTAACTTGAACCAGATGCGCCCTGGCTGTTTGCAGGTGACTACGCATACTGCCACACCCTAGAAAATGCTGATAACAATACAGAGGCGTACAAATACCGTCGTCTGCACGAGGCCTTCAGCGTCAGCAAGTACTGGCAAGATTACGACGTCTTCTTCCGTCAGAAAGTACGTTCAATGCTCATGTTGGTCAATCCCATCAGTCTTTGACTGCTTGCTAGTGTGATACGTTCTCGCGGTCGTCCGACGCTGTCTTCGAGCTGTCAATGCGCTTTGCCGAACCATTCCACCTCTCTCCTAATGATTCACCTGAAGATAAACTTGAGAAAGAGCGCTTAATGTTCCTCGAGCTCACGCAAGGTCTGCTCTTGCGGCGTTCATCGTGCCGTACCTTTTATTGATCAAGCATCAGTTTGCCTATGGGGCAACTCGACTGATCTGTCGCTGCTTATCAACATGACAGAGGAGCAGATTAAGGCTTTGCAATCGACAGGAGGCGATCACCTTGCGGCGACTGAAAAGAACATCCTTGGCAACCACCTCCCTCTACTCTGGGAGACCGTAAGGGACCTGCGCGGCAAGACGGGAGGCGTACGTGCGCTACGCGACGAGATGATATAGTTCTGACTCGATATTAAGCGCATTGACTTCGTGCTCGATAACGCCGGGTTCGAACTTTACTGTGACTGCGTTTACGGTGAGTAATCAGCCCATGCAACTCACCATCACCCGCTCAACCGTTCTTCTCCAGCCGATTTCCTCATTCAGAGCGGCCTCGCCTCGCAGGTCCGGTTCCACGGCAAGCGGTTTGCTTGGTTCGTTTCCGATGTCACCCGCAAGGACTGGAATTGGCTTCTCAACACCATGGTTTACGGCCAGCTCTTCCCGCACTCCACGGACCAAGAGCGGGAATCGCTTCGCCGTCTTGGAGAGCGCTGGAAGCAGTACGAGAAGGAGGGCAAGTGGGTGTACGAGCAGCACCCATTCTGGTGCACAGGCTACACCTTCTGGGAGCTCCACAACGAGGCGCCCGATCTGTTCTTGCATGTACGTCCTTTCGCCATGATGCCTTCGTGCGTAACGCTCAAGGCCATATTCATTCAGCTCTCCCGGTCGGATCTCGTCATCTTCAAAGGTGACCTCAACCACCGCAAACTCACCTATGACTGCGCCGCGCCAGCGTCAACACCTTTCGATGTCGCAATTGGCCCCATGGCGAATGCAGCAGGTGCGCCCAAAGTCTGCTCGCTCCGCACGATCAAGTCGGACGTTGTGGTCGGCCTTGAGAGCGACGAATTCGCCGAGAAGCTCGACAAGGAGGAACCCGGTTGGAAGATCAGTGGCAAATATGTGAGCATCGTAGTCTTCTCTAAACAAAGCTCATCTTTGATCCTCGTCAGGCCGTCGTTCTGCTCTCCGAGGGTCGTCCTGGAGAGAAGGTTCGTTTCGCATAGATTTCTAACGTCCTTCTCGTTGCACGTCTGGTACCGGTTTGATCCTCCTAGCACAACTTGTTGTATACACGGCCCAGGCGCCTTGGCTTATGTTGTATTTCTATCATCTTTCGACATCGATTGGCTACAGTAATTGGCAAATCTACGTATGGGGCAGCCGTGATGTCATCTGATCGGTCCATAAATGAAATGCACAAGTAAGTTGAGCTACTCCCAATGACCCGGCTTTGCAAACGCAACCCTTGTTGCAAAACTGCGATTCACTCTTCAGTTCTCCGCCGCTCCTCTTCGAGAAAAATGCAGGAGGTGCGCCCGTGCAGTGAGAATCCTCTACCGTAGGTAGCACACATATTAGGCCGATCAGTGTACCAGTAGAAACGGAATAGTGGCTTTCAGAGGCCCGTGGGAGCGCATTTTGACGCGGATCAGCTCGCCGAACCGTTGCCGGATTGTAACACGAATTCCAATCCCATGCACCGTCCAAAAACGTCGAAATTTTCAGCAGGGGTAGAATATACTTGTAAGACTGAGCCTGTTAAGTTCGTATGCACCAAGGAGGTTCTTGTGAGGTGTTTACAACGCTGCAAGGGTCGGGCAGCCCACGTGGAGGTCACGTTTCAGGAGGTCACTTCGATGCAAAATCGAGACGTTGTCTTGCAATAGCTAGTACGGCTATAAGCAGTCCTTGAAAATATTTGATACTCTCGGATCATGAGACCAATTGTGTATTCTTGAGGACTATGCAAAAATATTGGGGGTCAGCGGGGTGTTTGAAGGGCCTGTACAGTTATGAAAAATGTTTTGCAAAGCAGGTTACTAAGTCCTTTGCCAGTACGATTCTCGACGACTCGCTCGTCGTCTGTCTTCTCACATCAACCTCGCATCCCTATCGCATTATGTCTACTGGGCAATCCACATCCTCTGAGACGCGTACTGGACCTGGGTCTGGCCCCTCCTCGACTGCATCCTCCGCGGCAGCATCTCCGAAGCGTGGCCTCGAAGCCGCCCGCGTATTACAGCTTCACAACCCTGTCTCAGCAAATGAGAAGGACTGGCACGCGTATGCAATCAACCGTAATAAAGCTGTGAAAGTCTCCAAGACTATGAATGTGTTTCCAAAAAGCAAGGCTACGAGAGTTCGAATTCAAACGGGGACGATTTTGACTGGGGTGAATGCTGTACTTGGGTCTTGCGGTCTATTCGGCGTCAGTCGAGGGCAATCGAGGAAGAGCTCGGGTATGAGGCAAAGACTTTGCAGTCGGCTCTGCGCGTTATCTACTACGATGCATTGTTCGAGGAGATGTACGAGATGAGTTGGTCGCCAGTCCATGGCATTCGGACTCTGTTGCGAGGCTGGGGCGCCGATCTGGGAACGCAGCCGCGGACCGTTGATGTGATGACCCGCCTATACTCTCCGACGACGCCGTCCTACATAGACGTACACCTCCTCTATCATTACCGCACGCGGATGTATGCGAGTGGCACTACACCCTCGGCTACAAGCTGCACAAGCGTCCCAAGCCCAATGCACCCGACGCCAAGGTTATGCGCGCAGAGTAGGGCAAAGGTCTTGAGAACATGCATGTTCGCAACGGTTGGCGTCCCGTCTGCTGGGGAATGTACTCGCAGGATCATGGGGATTTTGGAAAGCGCTGGCGCCGGGTTGAGGAGAAGGATCTTGCTCGACTCTGAGGGGCTTCTGGACATTCATGAGGCCCATTTTCGGGCCGATCGAGCCGTTGGCTGAGGATGCGAACGAGGATGCGAAGATCGCAAAACGGAGGGCGCTTGTCCGGACGATTAGGCCCTGTTCGACCTCGCGTTAGGCACCTGCGTTAGGCAGCACGTTAGGATGGGAAGTTCGTTAGGCATTTTCGTGGGACAGCCTACCATATGCGGGCGTAACGCCCGGGTAACGCCCATAGATCTTCCGGATCTTCGATGTCATCCGACACAATCTCCATGACGCTCCGATGCCGTGCGTGCTGTCCTGCACAACATTGAGCTCGACGCAGATACTGTCGAGGCGCAGTGCTTGGTTCGAATTTATGGCTCTGCCTCTGTAGTTTTCTCCTCTGAGTAGGATCGGCAGCACACGATTCATCCACCCAACAACAAGGGTATTAGATTGGTAACGAGCGCAAGGTCATCGCCGTCCGCGTCGAGCTCAAAGGCGCCCTGTCGGGGACGGGGCGGGAGGAGGCGCGGCCAGGGTCACGGTGTGTGACGGTGGAAGTCCGGGTCTCGGTTGCCGAAAGTTCGCCGGTGGCCTAACAGAGTTCACATCACAGCGCACTGCCTAACGCAGACGCCTAACGCGAGGTCGAACAGGGTCCAAGTCTCTGCCATTCGAGAAGCAATTCTTTCACCCTTCTGTATCTACACCAGCTATTAGGAGAGTCATACTCTCCAACTTTTACTGTCAACGAAGTCGCGTCTTGCACGGCATACGCACACTTCCCGACTAGCTATTGCGTCCTCATCTTGCAGAACGGCTGTGTGTCGGAAGGGCTCTAGAGAATTCCTTAGTCCAAAAGAACACTGTGCACCACGACTTCTGGCCTCCGCCCGGACATGCTGAAGGGCGTAGCAGGCATTTTGATACTGACCCTTCACGTCGCAGCTCACATCACACTGTGGTCACATGCCTTGTGAATGCGGTTCTGCTTTGGCGCAACCGCAACATATGGCCAGTATGTGTAGTCGTCGAGTCGACACCAAGCGCCAGAGCGTGGAACTCCGGCCACCCTCAAGTCCGGTGATAGACCTGATGTCTCTTTGGCTCCGTGTCTATCAAGCATCATCTCTGCATCACTGTTCTCGATCTCACCCCAGCGCTTGCTATGGTAGTAGGATCCCTCTATGCAGTCCGAAGTCGCAGATGTGGCGCGCTTGCGTTGTGGAGAAAGGTACATACTGCGGGAATTTACGTGTTTTCCCCCGCACGTCTATAGCAAACGCTGATGAGATGCTCTTTTGGACGCTTTGGATGCCGCACTTGGATCCTTTGGTCGGGCCAGTCCTATAAGTATCTCATGCGATGGCCATGCCCCGCGTTCTGCCCATGTCATGGGAGCCGTTGACCCGACATATCCGCTATTTCCCATAGCCAGCATCCTTGCTGCTGTGCTACTTCTTTTGGTTCTCCTAGCCAGTTTCTTGCGCCATACATGGAACACCGGTGTCGCTTTCTTATGTTTCTGGCTTTTCGTGGGGAATGTGTTTAGCGCCGCGAATGCCATCATCTGGTCTGATAACGCCGACGTCAAGCTCTACGCGTACTGCGACATTGGTGGGTCTCTTACCGCTCAGTTGAAGGTAGCTGTACTCAGCACTCTTCTCCTTGAGCTAGTATCGCACGTGGACGTCATCATCTCCGTCGTTAAACCTATGGCGACGCTCCTCATTACACGACAACTGCACCTGATTGCTGGCCTCAGATCATTAGAACGACTCAGCAAAGGAGCCGTGCGTGTATCACGACGATCCTCTTACGACTGACTGGCTGACAACTTGGTTCAACAGAAACGAAGAGCTTTGGCTGTCGAATGGGGGCTGGGATTCGTCTTCCCGCTAGTGGTGGCTGGTCCAATATGTACGCCTTCACAACGCATCCATCCGTCGTTCGGGCTCACATCGGGTTCGTATCCAGACTATGTCCACCAGGGCTTCCGATTTGAAGTGGACGAAGGCTTTGGGTGCACGAGCGCCATACAGATATCGGTGTTGGAGATTTTGACCATCGGGATATGGAGCATACTTCCACCTCTCATATCCGTCATTTTCTATTATCGTACGCTGGCCATTATTTGTATGCATACGTACCGCTTCTTACCCACGCTACGTCAGCGAAAGTTCTGCGTACATTCTATTGCCAGATAAGAGACATCGACCATTCTCTCAGCGGCACCGGCTCGTTGTCTCGGGCGAACTACCTTCGCATCGTAGTTCTTGCCAGCATAGATCTGCTTCTCACTTTGCCTGTCGGCATAGCGAACATCATTTTGGGGATCATCTCCTGGCGACGTAACTTCTCCCTTCCTTTCTACTGGGGCTGGACCTACCTTCATGCTGGCTGGGAGCCGTTGAGCGTCTCATACGCAGACTTTCAAGCAAGCGGGACCGCCAATTTCGCGCTGTACTACTTCAACAGCTGGACGTCGCCCTTCCTCGCCTACGTGATCTTCTGCCTCTTCGGTTTATCCTCGGAGGCTCGCGCTTCTTACAAGCATGTCTTCGACACCCTCTGGGTAGTTGTGCGGGCCGGAGAACAAGACGGCATACGCCACATGGTCAGGTTTCGTTGGGAGAGATCGAGTTTACTAGCCGGAGGACGAAGGAAGGCTCACTGGATGCTATTGATGCGGAGTGAGTCTAGTACTACTTTGAGGCACAGTCATCTGATCACGACTACTCTTAAGATCACGACTCAGTACTCCAAGCTTTTCTGGGAGCTATGCGATCACCCGCGACGCAGAAGTGGGAGGGAAAGTCCGGTACTAGTCACGGCAAGTTCATATTGTGTACATTACGAGCGGTGTGAAGAAGTGCTGGGAGCATGGAATGGACTTCTGTGCAATTCTATGCCTGTATAGAGCTCTAGTATCGGTAGAAGTGCATGCGCAAGACCAATCGTGAACCCGTGGGCGTAGGCGGCCGGTGTTCAATCTTATGTCTAGACGCGTGACGTCACGCGCCCTCATCGGCCCGAACCATTCAACGTGGCCGCAGCGGAGGCCAGTCGCACTTCGTTCAAACGACCATATGCATGCAGACGCATTGATAACATCTCATGTGTTACTGCTCCACATATTTTCCTCGACCGATGGCGATTGTCTGGCGTACCGGCTAAACACCAGACTGTGTCCGGCTGATCCGTGGTTATTCTTGAGCATTGCCAGTCGCATCTCACTCACGATGATTCGGGCGTGAGCGCTTGAGTTCCCGCACTTCCAGGACAGAGAACCCGTGAAAGGGATCGTAACAAGTGCCTACGCGCTACGAGGGTAGGCACTGGGAGTCGTTCTCAGGGGTGTTGGCGGATGACTCGAACGTCTGATCTCGCAACTGCATTCATTCGATAACGACTGTGGTGGTATTTATACCATCCATCTACAGTCTCTCGCACCATACGAAGCGTCCCTCTTATGCCCATCGATTACACCAAGCATAACTATACCGCTCCAGCCGAGCGCATCCGCGCACTCAACGTCGATCCACCGGAGTCGCGCATTTTTGACGGTTTGCGCAAGTATGAAACGGCCGCCCGGGGTACGTCTCTAGACATCGTGTCTGTGTCTTATCACTCATATCACCCACAGGCTTCAATGTTCTCTCGCTCGAGCACGGATCCGATGCGGCATTCGTACTCCACCGTCCCGCGGATAGCCCTGTGCCGCAGGTGTTTCGCCTACGCCTCACTGGTACGTGTGCATTGATCTCCGACCTGCAGTTACAGCGCTGACAAGAAGCTCTAGGCAATGACCCACTAGAGCGTCTAACATACTTTCCCGCGGGCGCAGGCCGTAGTATCAGCAGTTGGGAACCGATCGCGGGAGATAATTGGCGAGGACGCTGGCGTCCCGGAGGTGCGGTGTTTTGCATGGATGGCGATGGAAACGAGATGTTCCAGGTTTGGTGCGCACATCATTCTCCAGGCACTGTGCGTCCAGCTGACGCAGGAAAAGGCGGTACTGGGAGGATCCCGTAGACTCAGATGAACCCCCGTTGCCGCGCAGTGCGGCAGAGGTCGATAACGCACCCGGTCGTGGACGCATCGAGCGGCTCACGCACGACGAAGCACGATATGGCAAGCTAGTCGTCGCGGAAAGCGGAGAGTGTGTCTCTCCTGTGATTATGCGTCTTTCGGCGAAGCTGACTGCGTACTCAGCTTTTTGGCCTTCACCTCGACAGCGCACAACAACCGAGACACTCTACCTTACCTGGCTCCATTGACCGGCTCCTGTCCCTTCCTTCCTCTCCCTGGTGATCTGAACGATGACGGCGAGGGTTTTGACCTCGCGAAGATCGCACAGAACGTGACACCGCTCCCTGGACCGGAGGTGAAGCGCACGACCCAGTTACCACCGGAGACCATCAGTGAGTGCTCTCGTTGTTAACGCAGGGCATCTGACCTGAACCATGCGATAGGTGCGGATGGAAAATGGCTGATGCTAGTCGAGATGAAGGGTTCTGGGGAGCGCCCTGCGTTCTTGATCGACCTTTCGCTGCCTCTTCCCCAGGTGTGTGGTTGTAATATATCGATTTTGAAGAAGACTTAGTGACTGATGGCAATTACCACGAAGACACCCAAATCACTCAAGCTCCCTGGTGCCACCGAGGCTGAGGCTGAGACGACGATCGCTCCCGCCAGATTCAGCTTGGATGCCAAGAGCCAGACTCTTTACACCGTGACGAGCGCCTACGGCGACTTCATGAGCCTCGTTGCACTCGATCTCTTCTCGCTACCATCAACCGCTTCGGAAGGTGATGCGAGCCTATCGCCCACCGTGACGCACATAACAACGGAAGGCCCCTTCGATGCGCTCGCGCCCATCAAGTGGGATATACCCTCTCTGCGCGTCACTCGAGGTGCAGTTGTATTCCGCGCCAATGTTGGCGGCTGGTACGTCCCGTACGTGATGCCGCTCAGCGGCGCGTACGCGAACAAGGTCATCAAGGTATAGCCACATATTGTCTCTCGTGCTCGTCTTGTCACTCAGTACATCCCCAGGTGAACCTGGAGTGGGAGGGAGGCGTCATCATCGTCGAGCCACACCTCTCGCGACCCTGCACCCTCCTCGCGAGACTGACCTCACACAAATCCTCGGGCCGCCTCGCACTCATCGATCTCGACTTCATCGTGACAGCCTCCTCCGAACTGGACTCAGTCCATGTGTCCGAGAACGGCGAGCTCTCGGTCGACGTTGTCCCGCATGACTTCAAGTACGCGACGCCGGAAGAGCCAGACGTGCGCAGCGTCAAGCCGGAGCTGCGCACGTTCAAGAGCTTCGACGGGCTAGAGGTACCCTTCATCTACTACCACCCTGACACCTCCGACCACGGCGAACCCGCGTCGAAGAAGCAAAAGCGCCCCGTCATCATCGGCATCCACGGCGGACCCGCCAGCCAAGCGACAGTCCAGTACCGCAGCGCAACACCCGCCATCCACGGATACCTCCTCAACGAACTCGGATGCGCTGCTATCTACCCCAACGTGCGCGGCAGCGTCGGGTATGGCAAACGATACATGGCCGCGGACGACGTGGAGAAGCGCGAAGACTCCGTCCGCGATATCGGCGCGCTCATCGACTACATCGCTTCGGATATGTCGGACGAGCTCGATGCGAGCCGGATCGCTGTGATGGGCGGGTCGTACGGAGGGTACATGGTCTATGCTGTGCTTGTGCACTTCTCCAACAAGCTGACGTGCGGGCTCGCGAACTATGGGATTGGGCACTGGCCGTCATTCTTGAGGCGTACGGCCGTGCATAGACGGGCGCATCGGAGGAAAGAGTACGGGGACGAGTCGACGCCTGGGGGTCTCGCGTTGTTGGAAAGCATTTCACCGCTCAATCGCGCCGAGGAGATCAATGTGCCGCTTGCCATTGCGCATGGGGAGACGGATAGTCGCGTTACGATCGACGAGGCGGTCGAGATGTGGGAGCGGGTACATGAGCGGGTGCATTGCGAGTTGCTCGTGTGCGAGAAGGAGGGCCACGGTACGTCTTGATATCTCCGAGATAGAATGGTACCTTGGAGGCCTCAACTAATGCGGATGATGATAGGCTTCAAGCAGAAGAGCGTGATCGAGTTCACGAATGCCGCGAAGGTCCAATTCCTCGAGAAGTACTTGCTCAACCGCGCTCAGGCTTGAGGTGGCTACCCATTCGTATACTGCCCTGCTACCCATGTACCTTCCTGCACACCCGTCGCATACAAAAGCACGACAAACTTCACACCCAGGCATGATGTCAAAACATATTTCCGTGGTAGAGTCTAAGTAAACGTGTAACAGCGAGGTATGACAACAAGCGAGAGAGAGTAAAGGTCGATGGTAAGAAAGGCGTAAAAGATGAGTCCGATATAACCGTCCGTCAGTGGGTGTGCGTAATACAGCTAGTAATTTTTCTTCCTTCCTTCGTCCCATCCATCCCCTTCATGCGGCGTTTACTCCGTGGTGACCGACTTGGCACTATACAAGACGTCAGTAAGGAGTCAAAGAGTGGGGAAAGAAAGGGTACGCACAGGTTACGCGGGAAGTCGACGTCAAAGCCCTTCATAACCGCCAAATGGTACGACAGCAACTGCAACGGAATAACGTTCAACAGCCCCTGCAAACAGTCCACCGTCTGCGGCACCCGGATCGTCTGCACGCCCTTCGGGATGCCCTCGTCGCCCTCATTGCACAGCACGATCGGCGCGGCCTTGCGCGCCGTGATCTGCGCGTACGCGCTCTGCACCTTCGGGAAGAGCGCGTCGCGCGTCATGACGATGATCACGGGCATGTTCTCGTCGATGAGCGCGAGCGGGCCGTGCTTGAGCTCGCCGGCGAGGATGCCCTCCGAGTGCATGTAGCTGATCTCCTTGATCTTGAGCGCGCCCTCGAGACAGGTCGCGTACTGGTACCCGCGGCCCATGAGCAGCAGACTCTTGCTCGTGTTGAGCACCGTCTGCGCGAGGTCCTTCAGGTTCACGTCGCCCTCGAGCACCGTGCGAATCTGCGCGGGCAGCGCGTGCAAGCCCTGGATGATCTGCTGGCGGCGCTCGACGAGCGACAGCCTGTCCTCGCTCATCTGCAGCGCCATCATGAGCAGCGCGATGTACTGCGACGTGTACGCCTTGGTCGACGCGACGCCGACCTCGGGCCCGGCGTTGATGTGCACACCGCAGTGCGTCTCGCGCGAGATGGTGCTGCCGACGGTGTTGACGACGCCGACGCACAGCGCGCCGCGCTCGATGCAGTAGCGCATCGCGAGGATCGTGTCGGCCGTCTCGCCGGACTGGGAGACGAACACGCAGACGTCGTCGCGGAAGATGGGCGTCTTGCGGTCGAGGAAGTCGCTGGCGAGCTCGACGCTGACCGGGATCTCGGTGAGCTCCTCGAAGATGGCGCGCGTGGCGATGCACGAGTGGTACGACGTTCCGCAGGCCGAGAACACGATGCGGCGTCCGCGACGGAGGATGGGGAGGTACGCGCGCAGACCGCCGAGCGTGATCTGGTTCGTGTCAAAGTTGACGCGTCCACGCATGGTGTTGACGACCGACTCGGGCTGCTCGTAGATCTCCTTCTGCATGAAGTGGTCGAACTTGCCCTTCATGATCTCCGCAATCTCGATCTCGAGCGTCTCGATCGAGCGCACCGCAGGCGTCTGCGGCGCGCCGTCCTCGTTGCGGCGGAGCCGGTGGATGTGCAGTTCGCCCTCGGCGATGTGCGCGATGTCGTCGTCTTCGAGGTAGAGCACGCGCTTGGTGTGCTCGACGATGGCCGCTGCGTCCGAGGCGACGAAGAACTCGATCGGCTGCGGGATGCCGTCGTCGGACATGAAGGCGCGGGATTGGGAGCGCATGATCTTCGAGCCGGACGAGGGCGGGGCGAGGAGGTTGCTCGTGCTCTGCGGCGGCTGGAGCTTCTTATCGTCCTGGCCGGCAAACTCGACGTCGACAAAGTCGACCTTGAGCTTCTTCTCGGTCTTGACACCGATGAGGAGCGGCGAACCGCGGCGGGCGGTGACAATCTCGTTCGGGTAGTGCTTCGACTTGAAGACGAAGGCGAAGGAGCCCTCGAGCTCCTTAAGGACGAGCTTGACGAGGTCGGTGAAAGCGATGTTCTTGTCGTGCTGGGTGTCGTATATGTACTTGGTCAAGATCGCGACGGCCTCGGTATCCGTCTCGCTCTCGAACTTGTAGCCGCGGTTCTGGAGGACAAGACGGAGAGCGTTCGAGTTGGTGACGATGCCGTTGTGGACGACGATAAAGTCAGCTGCGGGGTCCGAGCGCAGAGGATGGCAGTTGACGACGCTCGGCGGGCCGTGAGTGGCCCAGCGGGTGTGGGCGATCGAGACCTGGGAGGAGAAGATCTTGGACATGTCGACGGTCGCCTCGGAGATCTTCTTGCGGAGACCGGCGACCTTGCCGACCTCCTTGAAGAAGTAGACGGCGTCATTGCCGTCGCCGTCGATGCCGATACCGGCAGAGTCGTAACCGCGGTACTCCTCACGTTGGAGACCGGTCGTCAGGATGTCGCACACCTCCTTGCGCGACTATAAACGGTACACAGTCAGTATATTATGTTATGTAAAACGAGAGGCAGGCAAAGAAGCAGCGTTATCTCGGTTGAATGCGAGAAGGCCGTCGGCAGTGGCGAGTAATTGAACACGCGCCGGGCGCGCGTCGCGTCGCACGGCGTCATTCCAGACCAAAACGCGATTAGACTCCGCGTTCGACGCGTCCTGCCAGCGCATCCGTCCCGCTTTTGCCCAACTATTGTTGGACGGGTAGGTCTACGCCGCGTACTATATTCAGATCGCGCAGTACGAGCGCGCAGAAAGCCGCGTTTCGGGAGGCGATGTGGCGCCGCAGTTGCCAGAGCGATCAAGCGACATCCTCGCAACAACAACAGCAGCGACGCGTACGGGATGTAGGAACACTTCTGCGAGAAAGAGGTGTATCTCGAAACGCGGCTGACCTTGTCCTTGAGGTAGTTGCAGTATGCGAAGATCCCGCACATCGTGAAAGAAAGCTGTAGTTGTGCATCAGTATAAGATTTATAAATTGGAAGGACAAAAGTACGCACCTAGTGAAAGAAGAAGAGTAAGAAAGTGTGGATGAAAGATGTACGGGCGGGGCGGATGGTGGTGGGAGGGAGAAGAAGCAGGACGTTCGAGCGGGCCTCTTTATGGAGGGCGCCGTGCAACGCGCCAAGGGGTGCCTAATTGCTACCTCCGCTTGCTACCGCCAGCATCGCCTCGCGCCTTCCGCCCACCGCCCGCGTCTTCTTCCGGGCCTCGTAAGACCGGTGTATGTGCACTATAGCACATCAATCCACGCATACAGAGCATCACCAACAGCGCTCATAGAGTTGATATTTCTCTTAGACCCGGTCTTCCAACTGTTCTAAGAGCAGGATCTGCGACGAGCGAACGTTCGCCATCCGTCTGGCGCTCGAGAGCTTCTCGCCGGACTTATCGCACAGCGGGCTGGCAGAGCCGCACGCAGCCTGCTCTATCTCTGTCCGTTGCCGTCATGGCTTTGGCCGTCGTCAATGCTTCTCTGCAATGTCCGTGCGATGACGCGCTGGAGAGCACAGGTTCTGATTCCCAGCCCGTGGACCTGAATAGTTTCCCCCGCGGGCATATACGCACCTGTGAACATGCTGATATGTGGGGACGGGCGGGCCGCATGGCCAGCGCAGCTTTGGAAGGGCGTACCTGTGCTTGATGGGTTCACCCGGCGCTGTGTACTGTATCTATGCACACTGCCGACGATATAGCAAGCCAGTGTCATAGCGCAGCCTCGTATATGTGTCTCTCTATACGAGTAACCAGAAAATACGCCCTCGCAGAGTGAGAAGCGTCTGAAGTGAGACAAAATAATCGAACTTGAGGGTCCGTATGGGCGCCGACACGTGGCGTGCTTACGCAAGAGTTTGGACTTGTCGCGTCGCGTCGTCTGTGGTTGACCGCGTCGTGCATGAGCTCCCAGAAACGCGCGGGCTCACCCTCACCGTCCTCCTCACCAAACAAACGTCAACGAATGGCCGAAGAGGAGACACAGAACGCGATACCGGTGGATCCGGAGACGGCGCCGGGAAAGCGGGCCGAGTTTGAGCCCATCCCTGGCGGGGAACTGGGGAATATTAAGAACGAGAAGGAAGGGACGCCCGGGCCGGAGACGGGGTCGGGGGTGAAGGTGCAGGGGGAGGAGGACGGGGACGTGGAGATGGCCGAGGAGGAGGCGGACTCGGAGGAAGATGCCGAGGACCCGGCGCAGGTCGAGGCCAACAGGGAGCGCATCGAGCAGCAGGCACGCAAGTACCTCGCTGCCCAGACGCACGAGGTCATCATCCCCAGCTACTCTGCCTGGTTCGACATGTCCACTATCCACTCCGTCGAGAGAAAAGCTTTACCGGAATTCTTCAATTCGAGGAACCGCTCAAAGACGCCGTCGATTTACAAGGACTATCGCGACTTTATGGTCAACACCTACAGGCTCAGGCCCACCGAATATCTGACCGTCACCGCGTGCAGGCGAAACCTGGCTGGAGACGTCTGTGCTATCATGCGTGTACACGCTTTCCTCGAGCAGTGGGGCTTGATCAACTACCAGGTCGGTACTTCCCTCGTATACTTTTATGCAGTATACTAATATATCTCGCGTTTAGCTCGACCCCGATGCCCGTCCGGCTGCACTGGTACCGCCATTCACCGGCCACTTCCGCGTCATTCTGGACACGCCCCGCGGCCTGCAATCCCTCCACCCCGGCACCCGTGCGAACAACCACCCGTCCCAGAACGGGCAAGTGAAACGCTCATCGTCCGCGCACCCCGCCTCGCTCGAGCTGCGCTCCAACATCTACCAGACGACCTCAAAGGCGTCCAAGCAGCTCGACGAGTCCGAAGCAGCCGCCCTCGCGAACGGCGCAAAGTCAGTCCTCGCCGTCACATACAAATGCGACACTTGTGGCGCGGACTGTACCCAGGTCCGGTACCATTCGCTCAAGGCGAAAGAGTTCGAGCTGTGCCCGACGTGTTATCTCGATGGACGGTTCCCTTCTACGATGTTTTCGGGTGACTTTGTCAAGCTCACGGCCACTGCTGGCGGAAACGCGCATCAAACGGGTTCGGGCGAGGCGTGGACGGACCAGGAGCTTTTGTTACTGCTTGAGGGCGTGGAGATGTACGACGACGACTGGAACGCGATCGAGGAGCACGTAGGCAGCCGCAACGCACAGCAATGTATCCGCAAGTTCCTCGAGCTGCCTATCGAAGATCCCTACCTGGCCGCCGAAGGCGATATGGGACCGCTGCGGTACAACCGCGTACCCTTCGAGCACGCAGATAACCCCGTCATGAGCGTCGTCGCCTTCCTCGCCGGTGTCCTCGCTCCAGGCGTCGCAGCAGAAGGCGCGAAGGCAGCGCTACACGAGCTCACGGCCGCTGAGAAGGATAAGCCCGAGGGCGAAAAGACCGCCGAGGGAGGCGACAAGATGGACGAGGACAGGCCGGCCGAGGCGTCCGGCAGTAAACCTGCCACTCCGCCCGCCGCAACCGGTTCAACTAAACCCGAAGGCAAAGAGGTCCGCGGCGTCCCGCACAGCAAGGCCGTCCGCGCCGCCGAAATCGCGCTCAAAGCCTCCGCCCGCGCGGCCGGCGAGCTCGCGGACCAGGAAGAGACCGCCATCCGCAACGCGCTGGCGACCGTCATCAAGCTCACCCTATCCAAATTGGAACTCAAAATGGCGGCGTTCGAAGAGCTCGAGGACGTGCTTGAGGACGAGCGGCGCGCACTTGAAGCCGAGCGGTTGCAGCTTGCGGCCGAACGACAGAATGTGCGGCGTACGCTTGAAGGTGTGCGGGCTGAGCTGGCGAAGCATCAGCAGGGCCAGGGCAGTATGCAGGCGCTCATGCATGCCGGTGGCGCGGCGAGCGCGGCGACGGTTGGGCCGCAGACGACTGCGAATCCGGTCGGTGCGGGCGTCAGTATGGATGGGAATATGGGGCCGATGATGGGTGGGAGTTATGCGACGTTGTCGTAGACGTTTGGGACTGTATTTTCTTGTGTTGTTGTTCGTGTCTGTCTGCTACTACTATAGTCCAGCTGCCAGCTGTCTGCATGCGCGCTCGTGTTTCCTTCAACTTTCTTGATGCCCGAGTCTCGTCGTGAGCAAATACGACATCCCCACTAGGTATTCCTGGTCGCGATAGGGTCCAGGTTTCACGGACGGAAAGTCCGTTTGATCATTGATGCACAAACACCCCTCCGTGGGAATAATCACGTGCAAGAGCTTCCCCCGCCCTTTTTTTCTTTGTTTATTTCTTTATCCGCACACGAGAGCTCCGCTTATCGCCGGGCTCCCGGCTTGCGCCTTTCAGGCCAGTGCTCCAGCGGATGGAAGATTAGCCCTAGGGGTTCGTCTACGCCTGCTTGTACATTCGAACTGCGTCATAGTACTGAGCGTTGACTAGTAGCGGAAAGATAGATAAGATTGAAAGAACGCTCAGACCCCTCGGGACCAGGACGCCTGGAAGGCCGTGCGATGCTACATGCATCGGAGTGGTCTGCGTGTATCATGCAACGAGTCGGGATGCCCGTAAGCAGAAACTGCTTGGACTCAAATTTGTGGAGGCGTCGGGGCATGCCCCTCGTCGTTTACGCCCAGTTTTTGCTCAATATCCCGCGTTGTGACGAGAATGGCAGCATTGACCAGGCTCGGAGGACGTGTCCTACCCGTGACAGTCAGATTGATATTCAGGTTGAGAAAGCCATGAACATTGAACTGACCACATGCCACTGTCATCGAACGACGCGTCCGGCTGAACGACGCCAAACTCAATCTCGCCGAGTGACTGTCCGTTCTTGGTCCGTGCGCCCTCTGTCGGCTTCCATCCAAACCAAGTCCTGATGCCCAGTGAGAAGTCCGTCTAGCAGGATCCAGCGCAATCTAGCGGAATCTAAGCTATTTCTACGGTTTTCTAGGTGGTTAGAAATGTCCGGCATTCTCGCAGGATCTGGCTGAGGAGAGAGATGGCGAACAGCTGTGTCGCCTTGCTCTTCGGGTTCTCCAATGGCCTGTTCCCTAGGACCAAGTTCGCCGCCGTCAGGATCGAGGCGAAGGTCGGCATCGGTGGGAGGCAACTGTACGAAAACCCCTTTAGCATGCATTCTGTACAGATACGAGAATACGTGAGCAACATACAGCATTATCTTCGTCTTCGACAGCATGATTTGGGGACGGAGGTGGCACCGATGGGTCTGTCGCTGGTGGCGTATTTCTACCTGTCGGTCCACGAGGCCGTTTAGGAGGGGGCCCATTCACACCAGGTGCAGCGTGTTTCCTTTTTCGAGGTTCGCTCTGGCCCTGTTGATTGGCAGTATCGACCGGGGGCAGAGCAGAAAGAAACCCGTCCAAGGTAGAGAGCGGGAAGTCTTTGGCGTGCTTGTTCCAAGTCGCAGGTCGGATACGAGTTCCACCTTTGCAATAGCGTTGGCAGGTACACATTACCTTGCCATCCTCGTCAACAGGAGGCATGGACATATCGGGCTGGTACGAGAACACAAGGTAGACTGCACTCGGGTTCAAGAGGTGGCGAGATGAGAGTGGCGAAAGGCATGCAGCCACACCATCCCATCGCCATCCTATCCATATGCTTACCCACCCGAAGGCACGCGACAAAAGAGACGAGGCATATGCGAGAAATGAATGGCATTGTGGTTTGCCGCGTCGCGACAATGGAGGTTGGAAGCAAGACGCGGCGTGCCGTCGCGTGACGTAGACATCGCTTATATATGCTAGATCCGCGTTGACGCTATGGTGGTCGAAATGGTGCAAAAATAAATGCCCAGAGAGTTGAGCTCGCGAGG